TGAATAAATAGCTCAGCGATAAAAGTACTAATAATTTCAAATTGTATTTTCAAGCTACCACGTGGCTACTTCAATGCTACGATAACGTACAGACGAGATTCCCGCTACTTTTACCCATACGGCTTTTTTGAGCCACGAACACCAAACGATGCAGCTGACTCTATTGTAACTAGAAAACAGGTATGACCATTAACTTCAAGTTCTAAAAAGTGGTAGTCGTATGTATGCCAGAGGAATGAGTCCTCTAAAAATTCTGATGAAATGTGGGAGCTTCGATCGATGTAAGAGTAGTACGCTAAGGCGAATATAATGTTGTAGGTCCAAGAACGAAAAAAACATTATACATATGCTTTTTCTTTCTATACTTAATTTGAGGGGATTTTTATTCTTTCTTGGGTACTTCTCAGCTATGAAACTAGAAAAAATCAATTCCTCAAGTTAATGTGACAAAATGCTCATCTTAATAAATCTTGACGAAAGAAGGTCAACCAACAGAAATTCCAGCTGCTCACCGCAATTAAAAGAAAGAAAAAAGGATCGCTGATATTTGTCTCACACTGTGACACACCTTCAAAACGTGAGAAAGTCATAAGGTTCTCCTTTACTTTCTGAATCATCTTAAAAAAACTTCACCGGATGTAAACAACATTTTAGAGAACTAGGCAGATTTACTGATATCACAATTAGGGGCCGATGCGAAGAGCAACTGTCTGTTAACAATAATACAAGAAGTGCTTCGTGCAATACAGACTGTAGCGACGACGAATTGATAGGTTTGATTGGGGTATACTAACTTGAAATAAAATGGCAGCAAAGGTTGAAAGAATTTTGATAAAATTTTGCAAAAAAGAAACATTTCAGCTACTCATCGATTCTATATTTCATTTGAAAACAGCATATGCCATGATTACATTACGGAGAAATTCTTCAAACGAGTTTCGCAGTTGCTTGTTCCTGTTGTGATGAAAAGAGGAATTTATGAAGGTATCACATTAGTTACATCAGCGATGACTTTTCCTAATATAACCCAGCTTAGATGCTGGCATTCCACCACGTTCTTTCATAGCAGTGGACGACTACAAATCTCTAAAAGATTTGGGGAATTATTTGGATCTTTTGCGAGTAAATGATAAGGAGTATCTAAGGTAGGTCGCAGAGATTAACATCATTCATTTTCCATTTTCAGGAAGAAGACTCGATTTTTTTGGATAGCAGAGTAATGCATATTCCAATCTTGTCAATAGCATATGCAATAGAGAACTCAATCACAAAAAAAATAATATTTACGCTTTCAAGTCACTCTCATATTTCCGTAGAATTTCATTTTGAAGGTATTTCGAATGGACGGAACATTTTCGAAAGCCGGAAACATATCAAAGCAACGCACTATGCAAACTTTGTGAAGACATTTATAATGGTAGGAAACTGGCAGTGCACGACATCAAGAAGTACTACGAAATTGGGCAGTGTACCGACTCTGACAATCCAGGTGGACGACCCGCATGCTTGGGCAGATCATGCCACAGGACGAAGAACCTGATTTTGGGGGCTTGAAAATGACTCGATCTCCTAAAAACTCTAGCTTAGACCATGCGAGCAGGCGATCCGCATCCCTGAATTTCACGGCTGAGCTAAGAGTTTTATTTTGCCTATAAAACTGGAAAGTCTGTCCAGTGCTCGAACTGGGTCAGAGCCGAGCTGAATTAAATATTGACTCTTGATGAGCTTCGCTACTTCCTCATATTCGATGAACGCAAGGAAGTCATGGTGACCCTTCGATCTATTCT